AACTCTCCGAGTATGGGCTTCGTCCCCGGCACCGGGGAGAGGGCACTCGAGCACTTCTAACAGTCGGGACCAAGTCGGGTAACCCGACTGCTGAACCCCCATCAGCCGACTGCAGCCTGCAATGATCAACGGCGAGACTTGTCACCCTTGCGCTGCCTCAAGCTCGACCCTCATCCCTCACCCCTCACCCTCAACATTCACCCTCCCCCCTCACCCTCACCCCTCACCCTCACCCTCACCCCTCACCCTCACCCTCACCCCCACCCCCACCCCAACCCCCACCCTCAACCCTCACCCTCACCCTCACCCCTCACCCTCACCCTCAACCCGAACCCAAGGTGGCGGACCGCTGGCTAGACGTCATCGACACGCAGGGCGTCGACCTCGACGATGACGAGGTTAGGGTTGGGGTTGGGGTTACTAGTAGGGTGAGGGTGAGGGTTAGGGTTGGGGTTGGGGTTAGGGTTAGGGTTGGGGTTGGGGTTAGGGTTAGAGTTAGGGTGAGGGTTAGGGTTAGAGTTAGGGTGAGGGTTAGGGTTAGGGTTGGGTTAGGGTTAGACCTCGACGATGCCGAGGAGGTGCTCGAGCTCCTCTCGGAGCAAGCGCCGAGATGTCCGCATCTCCTCCTCTCGCCCCGCCCCCATCCGCCTCTCAGGTCCTCGAGCTCTTCTCGGAGCAAAAGTCGATGTCCAAGACGCTTGACGAGTACGGCGCCCAAAAGTCGACCGCGATCACCGTCGCTCGCCGCCTCGCCGAGTTCCTGGGCGAGCAGATGGTCGCCAACGCCGTCCTCGCGTGCAAGTTCATCATCGCCCACCGGTGGGGAGATATGGGGAGATCTGGGGAGATCGGGGGAGATCTGGGGAGATCTGGGGAGATCGGGGGAGATCGGGGGAGATCGGGGGAGATCTGGGGAGATCGGGGAGACATGGAGAGACATGGAGAGACATGGAGAGACATGGAGAGACATGGAGAGATCTGGGGAGATCTGGGGAGATCTGGGGAGATCTGGGGAGATCTGGGGAGATCTGGGGAGATCTGGGGAGATCTGGGGAGATGCGATCATCGCCCACCGGCCGGCGGAGGAGCCCGTCGCCGACACGTCCGGACACGTCCACGAGCTTTCCGAGACGTGTCGCGTAGGCCGGCGGAGAAGCCAGTCACCGAGCGCGCCATCCCGGTCTCCATGGTCGACGCCGAGCCTGCGGTCAAGGTGCACTTCCTCTTTAAAGGACTCAAGGACCGCTCCCTGTGCGCGAGGAGTCG